ATTTTGCCTCCAGGTAACCCACTGATGAGGTGAGTGAAGTGCATGTATGTGAGAAAGATGGAGACATGCTCAGACACCCACATTGGTCAGCAGGGACCAGGTATGAGTCAGTGTGAGGGCATTACAGGATGGAAGTGGAAGGCGTAGATGGACAGGTGGGTGAGTAGATGGCCACGGGTATGGGCAGTGGATCAAGCGATGCTGGATAGAGTGGGTGGGTGGGTGTACAGGTGGGTAAATGGATGATGGAGTGGAAGGATGCATGGGTGTGTAGGTGGCTGGATGGGTGGGTGAGTGGATGGATGGATGAACGGGGGGATAGGCAGTGTGTCAATGGAGGGGTGGGTAAGTAAGTGGTTCCGTGCTTGGATGTGTGTGAGTGGCAGATCAAGACATGGACAGGAAGTAGGTGGGTAAATGGGTGCACGGAGGGGAGGGCAAATGGATGGACAGGAGAGTGGGCAGTGGTAGATGGATGAATTAGCAATCGCATTGGTGGATGGATGGACCAGTGGATACTCAAGAGCTGGAGAACAGGAAAGACCAATCAGTGGGTCAATGAGCAGATGCATTAACTGACCAAAAGCCCAGCCAGACTTTGGGGGTACAAAGGGGACATGCACCCTAGGGAGGGGCTAATAGTTGTGGCCTCAGTTCAAGGCTCCCATCCCAAACCTCCCTGGAACCTGGAAGCAGCCACTAGCATCCCTGGGTCCCCAAGGACGAAATACTTCTCCCTACCTGTGGCCTGCCCCCTCCTCCCTGGCTCTATAGACTGCTCCCTGCCCAGGACCTGCCTCCTTCCCTTAGACCCCTTGCCTTGGCCAACCCAATCTGCTGGGCTGAGTGGAGGGGGCAGCTGAGCTCTGGGACTGTAGCCTGAGGAGCCTGGTTCCTTCAAGACAGGGAGGTAGGCGATCCTGAGCTCCGGGCAGTTGGTTCACCTAGCAGCTCCCAGTCCCCAGCTGGGAGGCATTTGTTCTGCATTCTGCATGGTGATTACAGTCCTGCCGAGGTTAACCCCTGCACTCCTGGGCACAGCCTCTCAAAGGGAAGTAAGGGGACTGCAGGAAATTGGGGGAGGAGAAAAGCATGAGAAAGGGAGACTACTCAACCCTGGATCCTTCCTGGGGATATTGAAACTTCTCCCTTTCTCCCGTTTTCCAGAGGGAAAACATGAGTCAGATCCTTAAATCAGGAGTGGAGCCAGGAACGAGGGCACAGCCTACATGGAGATAGATTTCTATCTGGAGACAGGCTGCAAAGGAGGGAGAGGGCTCCTCTCTGCCTTAGCTTACCCAGATGTAAAAGGGGGCAAGAATTCCTGATTCACAGGTTTCCTGTCAATGAGCTGGAGAAGACAAAGCATGTGGCATATAGTAGGGAGGTTCTCAACCACTTTTTCTTTCCTGCCGGCCCTCCCTGCCCACGGGTGAAGAAGATGGAGCAAGCATGGGGCAGGTTGTAGCCACTTCCATCAGGACTGCTTGCTCGGTCATCTGCCTGGGGCTCACAACACCCAACTAGTAAATACCCACACTGCTATTATACCCATTTCAGAGATGAGAAACTTGAGGTTCACATGGGCCAAGTGCTTTGCCCACGGTCAGCCACTAGGCCGGGATTTGAGCTCAGGGCCTTTGACATTGCACCAAACTGCCTCCTTTACCACCGCTCTAGGGATCCTCTGACTAGAGTGACGTGTAATTGATTGTCTAAACAGGTCACCTTTGAGAATGAAAGGAAGTGCTATTAATAATTACGCTGGAACAGTATGTGTAATCTGGGCTGTCCTAGGCAAACTGGAAAGTATGGCCATCCTGTCAAAGTAGGGGGTTTTACGCAAATCACTTCACTTATCTGCAAACGGGACACCATGGCAGGACTTTCCCCATGGGGCTCTCACAAGAATTAAATGTCATAATGCTTGTTAAGGAGCTACAGGACTTGGTATGCATCAGGTGCTCATTAAGTGCTGGTTACTGCTGATGCAATTAATAGTAACAACCACAGCATCACTAGTTATTTGCTTCCATCACTGTCCTTCCAGTCCATTCTTCACTCACAGTCAGACTTCTGTTTTGTTTTTTGTTTTTTTGAGACAGAGTCTCGCTCTGTCGCCCAGGCTGGAGTGCAGTAGCATGATCTCAGTTTACTGCAACCTCCATCTCCCAAGTTCAAGCAATTCTCCTGCCTCAGCCTCCTGAATAGCTGGGATTACAGGCGCCCACCACTATGCTTGGCTAATATTTGGTATTTTTAGTAGTGACATGGTTTCACCATGTTGGCCAGGCTGGTCATGAACTCCTGACCTCAAGTAATCCGCCCGCCTCAGCCTCCCAAAGTGCTGGGATTACAGGCGTGAGCCACCGCAACTGGCACTTTTTTATTTTTATTTTTTAAGACGGAATCTCGCTCTGTTGACCAGGCTGCAGTGCCGTGGTGCGATCTCAGCTCACTGCAACCTCTGCCTCCCGGGTTCAAGCAATTCTCCCTGCCTCAGCCTCCCGAGTAGCTGGGATTACAGGCACCTGCCACCACGCCTGGCTAATGTTTGTATTTTCAGTCAAGACGGAGTTTTAGCGTATTGGTCAGGCTGGTCTCAAACTCCCAGCCTCAAGTAATCTGCCCACCTTGGCCTCCCAAAGTGCTGGGATTACCGGCGTGAGCAACCAGCCTGCCAACAGTCAGTCTTCTAAATCTACACCTGCCAGTGCTGCCTGCTGGCTCACTGTCCCGATGCTGTTTCAATTCTCCATGGGACAAAATGCTCCTGGGCCAGCCCCCCGGGAAAGAGTTCCTACTGCTGTGCCACTTGAGCAAATGCTAGAATGCTTTGTGCCTCCGTTTCCTCATTTGTCCAGCTGCAGGAATAGCTCCTTCCCTTGGCGGCCAGCATGGGGATTCAGGGAGCCCGTGGAAGAGGCCTAGCCCCTGGGTGAACAGTAAAGACCTTGTCTCCTCCACCTGTGGGTAAATACGGCTCCTCGTCCCCTGCCACAACAGCGCTCAGCCAGTCTCCTCCAACCAGGTTTGCCTCCGCTGCCGGGTCCTCCGCTCCCAGCCTTTGCTGTGCTGTCCCCCTGCCAGCTGTGCACGATGCATTTCCATTGCCCTTCCCTCTGCCTACACGTCCTTTAAGACTTAACTCACAACCGCGCAGTGGCTCACACCCATAATCCCAGCACTTGGGGAGGCCGAGGCAGGCGGATCACCTGAGGTAAGGAATTCAAGACCAGCCTGGCCAACATGGCGAAACCCCCTCTCTACTAAAAAATACAAAAATTAGTCGGGCGTGGGCGGGTGCCTGTAATCCCAGCTAGTCTGGAGGCTGAGGGAGAATCGCTTGAACCGGGGAGGTGGAAGCTGCAGTGAGCCGAGATTGTGCCAAGGCACTCCAGCCTGAGCAACAGAGCGAGACTCCGCCAAAAAAAAAAAAAAAAAGACAACTCCGGTATCATCTCCTCTAGGAAGCTTTCCTGAGGCCCCAGGACCTCAGGCAGTGTTAGGGACCTCCCTATGCCCTGACAGCCCGAGGACTCTATAGTCAGAGGAGAGTAGTCAGAGGAGGGCACGACAACAGGAGGCGGGGGCCAGAATCTATCTCCCCTCCTTGATGATGGCACAGGGTCCCGGGTATGGCTGATTCCTTGCCCCCCCCCCCATGGAGGTGGGGGGGCGGGATCTGTAAAGTCTCTGAGATGCGACCTCATTTACCTGCCAAGCAAGCCTCCTAGGTGCTCTTGGAGCACGGGACACTTGACACAACATCTGATGCTGCTATTATCTATCCCACTTTCAGATCAGGAAACTGAGGCAGAGAAAGGTACGTAGTGACTGAGGCAGGACAGGAGCCCAGGCTGTCCGGCTCCAGGGTCCCGGCCTTGACTCTACCCGTCGCCCCAGTGTGGCTGTCTTCCTCCTGGGCACCGCGAGGCCTGTACCGGGTGGAAGGGAAAGAGAATCCGGAGGAAAGGAGTGGGCATGTCATGCTTGTAAACATCAAAGTTTAAAGGCCCAGGCATTCAGGGCCTCAGATCGAGCTTCCCGATTCCCCAAACTCCCGCAGGGCGCTGCTGGAGGGCCCAGGAGGGAGGCGAGTTCATCAGGCCTGGACGCCCTAAGGCCACGCGGGGAACCGGTGGAGGAGGGGTTGGCGGCCGGGGACCGGAGTCGCCTCCCCGGGGCAGCCCGCACGTTCCTCATCTGACCCTGGCCGGGGTGGCGAGGAGAGAGGCCTGGCCTGGCCCCCCAGTCGCGTCCCCGCCAGCTCTCGGCGGCGGCGAGGACGGTGCCGAGGAGGGGGCCGGGGAGGGGGCCGGGCCCCGCCCGGGCCCCGCCCGCTGGCGGGAGGAGAGGGGCGGGAGGCGGGAGCGCCCACACCCCGCCCCCGCCCCCGGATCCAGCCCGCTGAGCCCGCGGCCAGGGCGGCGCAGACCGGCCCAGCAACTCTCCCGGGCTGCCAGCCGGGACGCGCGGCCGCCGCCGCTGCAGAACTAGTCCACCCTAGTCCCGCGCCCCCGGGGCTCGCGAAGCCAGGTAACAGCTGGGGCGCGCGGGTCCTCGGGGCGGAGGCCGTGGAGGCCGGCGAGTCCGGGCGCCTGCGAGGGCTCTGCACCCTCCTAGGCTCTCGGGGCCGGGAGGGGGACCGGACCCGCCCGGGAGAGGCGCCCCCGGGTGCCCACGGGAAGGCCGGGCGCGGCCGAGGAGCCGCGCGGGGAAACTCCGAACTTTCGGGCTTCGTGTCCCATTCCGGGCGGGCGGAGGGGGCAGAGGATCGGACGAAACTCAGCGGCCAAACTGCGTGAGGAGGAGGCGAGCCGAGGGACAGAGCGAGGGCTGTCTCCGCGCCTTCCTGCGCGGGGGAAGGAAGGGCAGGGGCCGGGAGCGGGCGACGCGGCGGAATGTATCCCCTCCGCCGAGGCCCACGCGGAGAGCGGGAAGTGGGGGGTGGGGGACCCGGGGAGATGGACAGGCACCCTGCCCCCTCCCCGACCGCCGCATTCCAGGCTGGAGCCGCGGATGAGGTCATCCCGTCCGGTTCCCCTCTGGCCAAGACAGCTGGCCGTCCCCTTCCCCCGCGGAGCGACCCTCCGCGTCCTGAGCCCCAGGCTCCCGCGTCCCCCCAGGGAACGTTGGGTGGTCGAAGTTTTTCCCGGACTTCCAATCCCGGTCGCCCTCCAGATTGTTCTGCCTTTGCCCCAGCCGTGCCAGACCCGCAAGATTCGAAGCCCCTTTCCTAAACCGGGAAACTGAGGCTTAGAGAGGAGAGAGGACTGGCCGGGAGGCCGCAGCGACACGAAACGTGGCGCGGGAACCCGAGACGCAGCTCGCAGCCGCTCCTCCTCGCCTGGTCCACGGCTGATTTGGCTCTAACTCGGGGCGGTGGGCACGAAGCGCGTCTCCTTTCCACTTTTCCCGTCGCTCCCCAATGGCCCACGGTGCCCCCCTTGGAATACGGAGGACCGGGTCCCCTAGCGCGACTGAGAACAACTAGCTACCCCGTTCTGGCCTGTTTCCCCGTCTCTCCACCTTGAAGCGTCTGGACTTTGAGGGGAAGGAGAAGCCAGCCGCCCGGGTTAACCCCTTAACCCAGGGACCAGAGCAAGTTTGGGGGAGCTGCCCTAACCAAGACAGGGACCCGCTGTCCAGCGGTAGAGGGCGGGGGCATCACCCAGCTGGATGCCCGCAGGAAGGGGGCTGTGTGCACCCGAGCAGTGACCTCCAGGATGAGACGTGGGCCCCTGGCCAGCACTGCGGCCTGCGGGTGACCCCCAGGTGAATGCCAGGCTGCAGCCGTCCCCGCTCTCCTTCAGAGCGGCCCTTGGCCTCCCCGCGACCACATGTGCCTCCACAGCGGCCCCTGTTGGCCGGATCCTGGCTCCAAAACTTGTTCTTGCGTCATTCCCACCATTGAGTGAGCTCAGGCCATGCGCCCAGGCCCTGACTATCCTCTATAGGGTAAATATAAGGACTCCAGGGACACTGAAGCTGTGTGATGACCTCCTTGCCCAGGTCACAGACGCTGAATCTGCAGAGCTTGGTCTCCTGTCTTCCCAGGCCTGCACCTGCACCCCACACCGTGCTCAGCACTGGGCATCCAAGCCCTCCAAATCCTCTTCCCCATTCCCCATCGTCTTCACCCCCACCCTGGGGCATTTATCAGCGATGCTGGCCTGTGATTGAGGGTAAATGTCTCCTTTCTAAGTTTTGTTTTTTCCATCTGTAAAAGGGGTGTTCTCAATACTAACGGGTGGTATTCCTGGGCAGGTGAGGGGAGGTGAGCCTGGCACCAAGACACTTGGAGCCGTGCTTACTCCTAGTGCCAGGTGAGGCACACCTGATGGCCAGCAGTGCCCTGTGGTTGGCAGCAAGTGTCACGTGGCTGCCACCAGGGGTCCCTGTAATGAGAGATGTTAGTGTAAAGGTGTCAGATTTGAACCCATAGCTGCCCTGCTCTATCCAGCATCTGAGGGTTTCATTACATTTTCTACCCTTGCAACTCCCCTGGGAGGGGAACTGTCTGGTGTGCTGTTCCCGTTTTCCACATGGGGAGGCAGGTCCCAGTACCCTGCCCTCAGCTCCACAGGCCTGCAGAGTCTCTATACTGCAGTAGGCAGGGTGGCGTGGGGGATGGGTACTATTGGGGGGTGCCCAGAAACATTTGAAAGATGGGATCATCACAAGATTGGGGAGGAAGCTGGTGCCCCAAGTCAAAAGTGGCCATGGGGGTTCAGGGGGGAGGAGCCCCTTTTGCTGGGAGAAGAGGTGCTGCCTCAAGAAGTCAGGGAGGCCAGGTGTGGTGGTTCACACCTGTAATCCCAGCACTTTGGCAGGCTGAGGCAGCAGGATGGCTTGAGTTCAGGAATTTGAGACCAACCTGGGCAATGGAGTGAGACCCTGTCCTTACAAAAAGTGGAAAAACTTAGCTGAACGTGGTGGTATGCGCCTGTAGTCCCAGCTACTCAGGAGGCTGAGGTGGGAGGATCGCTTGAGCCTGGGAGTTCGAGGCTGCAGTTAGCTGTGATGGAGCCACTGCACTCAGCCTGGGTGACAGAGTGAAACCCTGCATCAAAAAAAAAATAAATAAATAAAAAAAAAATAAAACAGGGAGCTGGGGTGGGAGCAAGTGGGTGAGGCCACATGGCAGACCCTTCTACAGGGCTTTTTACAGAGGAACACCCTCCCCACTCCCATTCCTTCCCCTAGAGATGCATCGTTAATCCCTGCTGAGCAGGGAAACTTGGCCCTGCCATGAACCTGTCACGTAACGTTGGACAGGTCTCCCTTCCCTCCGAACCTCAGCGCTGCCTGTCAGATGGGCCAAGCTGTGGCTTTGCAGGGTTGTTGGAGAATCAGATGACATCATGTAATGGTTGGCCAACTGTGGAGCGCTTCAGAACTTCAGCAAACATTCCACGAGGACTTCTCGGTGCCGGGGGTGCCAGGGAGGGAAAAAGATGATTCAGAAGTTCCTCCCCTCCAAGGGGGAGGAGTTAGGGTTGGGGGAGGATCAGATGGTGGGAAGGGAAGAGAATGTAGTCAGAAAACAAAGCTAGCTTTGTCCTATTGGCTTCTTTGTTCTTATCTTGTTATTTAACCTATTTTGAATTTCAAATAACACTAGAAGGGCAGTATTGAGATGTTTATGCTTGGAGGTGGCAGCAATGGTTTTTAAAAAGGAAGAAGGCTGAGCCGCAGATGTGGGTGTTCTTGTTAAGGATCACTATTGACTTTCATCAGCTGAGGTCCCAGGTCTGTGTAGGTAGGTGACTTGCCCAAGGTCACACCGTGAGGACACCGAGCCCAGCCTGCCCTCCCACTCTCAGAATGGACCAGGGTGATGTTTTGGCATGCAGGTTATCATGGAGATCTGTGATTCAGCTGGCATTGATTTGGCACTTGCTAAGTGCAGAGCCCAAGCTGGATGCCCCAGGGAGAAAGGCAGGAGAATCCAGGCGACTGCCCCACCCTCCAAGTGCATTGCCGATCTCAGGAGGTGAGACAGGGCTCCACAAGCCAGTCAAGGACTTATGTGAGTCAGAGGCTCTGAGTTCAAGTCTCGACTAGCTCTGTGGATCTGACCTTGAGCCAGCTTTGCCCTCAGTGGGCCACAGGAAAAGCATAGGATCACAGGTGCGCTGTAGCCTGGACTTTGTATGATACTAGAAGAAAAGGGGTCAGAAGGAAAGGGGTCAGAACAAGAAATGCTTAAAGAGGCTGGAGCTGGGGAAGATTGTGTGTATGGTGGGGATGGGGAATCAGGAAGGGAGAGATGGGCAAGAAATAGCTTTTGGCACCAGCTGAGCTTTTTCCAAAGCTTGCTCCCGGACAACAAGGCTCCTACATCAATTTGACAAACTGTGATCAAGTCTTTTCCTGCGGGCCTTCTCAGAGCCTTGAATATGCTCACGCATGGAGGATGCAGCTGGAAAAAGCCACTTTTGACCACAGGATCCTTATTCCAGGAAGCTCCTTGAAGGTGGATGGTTCGGAGGAACCTCTGCTCTGGCTGTTTACCCAGCTTCACAAAGCCTTGGTGAGGCATCTGTTCCCTCCTGGCTTCGCTGGGTGGCAGAGATTTTAATGCACAGAGAAGGGAGGTGACTTACTCAGTTACTCAGCAGAAGGCAGAGTAGCCTGGGGCCCCAGGGCTCTGGGATGTGGGGCCTGTTTCACCATGTCTTGCTATGTAGCCTCAGGCAAGTTACTTCACTTCGTGCCTCAGTTTCCCCTCTCTAACTGATACCATGCTGCCCTCAGGAGTAATGTTTTTGTTGTTGTTGTCGTTGTTTGTGAGACAGAGTCTCGCTCTGTTGCACAGGCTGGAGTGCAGTGGTGCAATCTCGGCTCACTGCAACCTCCGCCTCCTGGGTTCAAGCAATTCTCCTGCCTCAGCCTCCTGAGTAGCTGGGATTACAGGTGCCCGCCACTATGCCCAGCTAATTTTTTATATTTCTAGTAGAGATGGGGTTTCACCATGGTGGAGACCAGCACCACCAGGCTGGTCTCTAACTCCTGACCTCGTGATTCCCCCGCCTCGGCCTCCCAAAGTGCTGGGAGTACAGGCGTGAGCCACCACGCCCAGCCCCTCAAAAGTATTATGTGGGTTTAAACGATGAGGCAGGTGAGGTCTTGGCACTTAGTAAGTGCTTCATAAGTGGGCCCTGCAGAATAAGCACTTTTTTCTTTTCTTTTTTTTTTGAGACAGGGTCTCGCCCAGGCTGGAGTGCAGTGACACAATCATGGCTCACTGCAGCCTTGACCTCCTGGGCTCAAGGGATCTTCCCTTCTTAGCCTCCTGAGTAGCTAGGACCACAGGCACACACCACCACACCCAACTAATTTTTTAAAAATGTTTTGTGAAAACCAGGTCTCATTACATTGCTCAGACTTGGAATGAGCGCTTCTATTTTTCCCTCATACATGGTTTAAGTGTATAGCTCGATGAATTCTTCGTCCCCTGTTGAGTCAGTACCTGCTCAGAGGCTGCTATCATTCTGATTGCTAATGGCATCAATTGGTTTTGCCTGTTACTGAACTTTCTTTTTTTTTCTTTTCTTTTATTTTTTGAGACGTAATTTTGGTCTTGTTGCCCAGGCTGGAGTGTCGTAGTGCGATCTCAGCTCACTGCAACCTCTGCCTCCCTGGTTCAAGTGATTCTCCTGCTGGAGGTTCCCGGGTAGCTGGGATTACAGGCGCGCACCACCACGTCCGGCTAAGTTTTGTATTTTTAGTAGAGACGGGGTTTCCCCATGTTGGCCATCCTGGTCTTGAACTCCTGATCTCAGTTGAGCCACCCACCTCAACCTCCCAAAGTGCTGGGATTACCGGCGTGAGCCACTGCGCCTGGCTGTGTTCTTGAACTTTCTATACACAGACTCACTCGGGTCCCCTTGTGCCTAGCTTCTGCCCCATATCAGTTGGGGGCCTCTATCCATGTGGTGGGGTGTGATGATCTATCCTCTTCAGCTACTAATGTTTGGACCCCAGATTTCCTCCTCTGTCCTGGGCTTGCCATCACCTCCCTTTCTGTCTTCCTTCCAGGTCTCCACCCCTGGGCAGGAGAGAAGCCGACCACCGCGGGGGTGCGTTCTCTATGCTTGAACATCTACAGCTGCTTCCGGGGGGCTGGCAGCTGGCCCCGGGAGAGGCGAGCCATGGACCCCCCACAGCCTCAGCATTCGGTGACCTCACTTTAGGACAGCGTCATTTACAGCTTCCGCCAGGGCAAAGGAGCTGAGCAGCCATCCCGAGCCCGGCCCACCTCCCTCCCCCGGCCCCTGGTGGACATGGACTAGCAGCTGTGAGCGGCCAGAGCTGATGCCCGGCCCCCAGGGGGGCGGCAGCACCCCCACCATGAGCCTGGGCAAGCTCTCGCCTGTGGTATGGGGGTCCAGTTCACAGGGAAAGAGGCGGCTGACTGCAGACATGATCAGCCCCCCGCTCGGGGACTTCCGCCACACCATGCATGTGGGCCGTGGTGGGGACGTCTTCGGGGACACCTCCTTCCTCAGCAACCACGGTGGCAGCTCCAGGGGCACCCATCGCTCACCCCGCAACTTCCTGGCCAAGAAGCTGCAGCTGGTGCGGAGGGTGGGGGCGCCCCCCCGGAGGATGGCGTCTCCCCCTGCACCCTCCCCGGCTCCACCGGCCATCTCCCCCATCATCAAGAATGCCATCTCCCTGCCCCAGCTCAACCAGGCCGCCTACGACAGCCTCGTGGTTGGCAAGCTCAGTTTCGACGGCAGCCCCAGCAGCTCCATGGACGGCCACTCCAGCTACGGTGAGGGCCTGGGTTATCTTGGCCCACTTTTCAGAGGCTGAGACTGAGGCCCAGAGGGGTTCAGTGGTTCCTCCAAACTCCAAGTGAGCTCTGTTGCCCAGGTCCCTTGGTCTCACCACAGAAGGCAGGCCCAAACCCCACATCAAGGATGGGGAGGGGGTGCAGTGGTGGGAACAAGCTGACTTCCCAGAACACCTGAGGTTGAGAGTGAGGAGGTGGAGTTTGAGTTCTGGCTGCCCCTTACTTGCTATGTGACCTGGGCAAGCACGTCCCCCTCTCTGGGCCTCGACTGAACCACTCATCCACCCATTCTTGCCCCCTTCAACCAAAGCCTTCCCCTCATGTTGGAATGATATCATGGAGAGGTGAAGGGCCTGGGCTCTGGATTCCAATCCAGTTCTGCCTGATTTTCAGGAAGTCAACTGACCTCTGTAAGTTCAAGTCCTCACCTGGATAATGATTCTCTCGGGGTCATTGCTAAGATTCAGTGCCAGGGGAGGCATAGGGGGACTGGTACATAGTAGGTGCTCAGGACACTGGAGCTGTTGTTATCTGAACTCGGTTTCCTGTAACTCGACAAATTTGGAAAACCACTCACAGGGACCACAACTCAGGGGCCTTCTTGCCCAGCCAGAAGTGCCACCTTGGCGGTTTGGGCAGAGTTCACCTGAGAACCATGGGCCCCTGCTGCCACCTGGTGGCCACTCCCTGCCTTGCGGCATTTGGGGCAAATGCTCTAACGCCACTGCCCCAGGCAGCTGCTCAGAAACACACTGAGGACTGGTCCACAGAAACTCCATTCTGTCTCAGGTCTGTAGTCCTGGAAGCATGGGCTGGACTAGATGACTTTGGGAAGGCACATATCTGTCCTTCATTTCTATACAGTCAGACCCTGGCTGCTGGTCCCATCCTGTGTCCACAAACCAGCCCACGTCCTCTGGGTTCACCTGCAGCCATCAACCAGGGTCATGGCAGGGAGCCGGTGGCCATGGCTGAGGTCACAATTGGGACTGAGAGGAGATTTGAGCTCCAGGCTTGATTTCACCTCGTCAGACTTCTATGGCCTTGGGCTAGCCCCTTCGCCCCATCCCAAACTGAGCCTCACTTTCCTCATCTGCATAATGGAAATGAGGATAATGACGATTTTCAGCTTTCAGGGTAGACAGGAAGATCACACAGGTGACCATGGAGCATATTCTATTGGAAAGATGGGAGAAACTGAGGCCAGAGAGGGGAGGGACTAGCCAGAAGCCACACAGCAAGCCAGGACTGTTCCTGTCTCCCCTCCTGAATTCCTGGTGAGGGACCCCAGCTCTGAGCCCACTGCCCATTTCTCTTCTAGGCCTGGACTCTGGGTTCTGCACCATCTCCCGCCTGCCCCGCTCGGAAAAGCCGCATGACCGAGACCGGGATGGTTCCTTCCCCTCTGAGCCCGGGCTTCGCCGCTCAGACTCTCTCTTGTCCTTCCGCCTGGACCTCGACCTTGGGCCCTCACTCCTCAGCGAGCTGCTAGGGGTCATGAGCCTCGCGGAAGCCCCTGCAGCTGAGACTCCAGCCCCTGCTGCAAACCCCCCAACCCCTGCTGCAAACCCTCCAGCCCCTGCCGCAAACCCCCTGGCCCCTGCCGCAAACCCCCCAGCCCCTGCCGCAAACCCCCCGGGTCCTGCTGCAAACCCCCCAGCCCCTGCCACAACCCCCCTGGGTCCTGCTGCAAACCCTCCAGCCCCTGCCACAAGCTCCACACCCCATGGACACTGTCCCAATGGGGTAACAGCTGGGTTGGGCCCAGTGGCTGAGGTGAAGGCCAGCCCAGTGGGAGGGGGTCCACGAGGACCTGCTGGCCCTGCCCTCGGCAGGCACTGGGGAGCAGGCTGGGGTGGTGGCCGCCACTACCCGGAGATGGATGCGCGGCAGGAGCGGGTGGAGGTGCTGCCCCAAGCCCGGGCCTCCTGGGAGAGCCTGGATGAAGAGTGGAGGGCACCCCAGGCACACAGCAGGACCCCGGTGCCCAGCACGGTGCAAGCAAACACCTTTGAATTTGCGGATGCTGAGGAGGATGATGAGGTCAAGGTGTGAGGGGCTGGGACATGGTCCCGGGGCCCCACCTAGGTGCAGAGCCGGCCCCTCACCTAACAGCTGGTTCCTACCAGACCAGAGAGGGGAGAAGCCGAGTTGCCCCTAAACCCCTCTCCACCTCTGCAGGACAGACATGGGAGGGAAGACAGGGAAGGCCAGGATTGCTCTGGGACTTGGATGCTCCCAGAGGCCCTGCCAAGCTGACCACCTCCTCCCACTGCCACTCTGGACCTAATAGCTCTTCCTTAGGCCCCACTCCACGCCACCCCCACCAGCTGGAGGGCCCAGCCTCACAGTGTGGCCTTCGTGCCAGACTAAGCTGCCTGTGGGGGGTGGGGGGCAGGGAGTGTACCACACAGGGCCATTGTCCCACCTCCCAAAGGAACCGCCTGCCCCCAGCTCATCCCAGAGCGTCCCCGCTGTAACCCTGACAGCCCTCTCCCAGGCCGCTTCCCCAACATCCCCGCCCCAGCCTCCCTCTTACCCCAGAAAGGTCAGGTATGACCTCCCGGGGAGGAATCCCACCTGCCTGTATACCCCAGACTTGCCTCTGGGGCCTGATTAAATAAGGCTGTTTTGATAAAAGGTGTCCTGCAAGATGCTTGGGGACCAGGGAGAACAGCATCAGCTCTACTTGCTTCAGTCCCCTCCCCTCCAGGGAGTTTAGAAAGCCAAGGACCCCCCCCAATCAAGGCCCCCAGCAGGGGAGGGAAGTAGACACACCAAGGGGAGGGTAATGAGTAACCAGGCTGGAATGCCCCTGAGATAAGAGACCCAGGTGGGAGCCTTATCTGCAGTTCCGGGAACAGCTCCTGGCCCAGGTGCCTGGGACTGGTGTCTGTCCCATAATCCCACAGAGTAGCGTGGCATTTGCTCTGGCGATAGTGGGGGCAAGTAGACAGGAACAAGTGCGTAGAACTGTTGGGAGCATGTCTCAGCCTCCCAACGTGGCAGCCGGGTGTCCTCGTATCTCAGTTTCCTCCTCAGTATCTTGGAAATGCCAGGAGCATTAAAATGCATAGAAAGAGAAATGCCCTCCTTAGGTATCAGAAGACCAGTTAAATTTAGCCACAAACAGCCAACGTCAGGTAGTGAGCTCCCTGTCACTAGAGGTGTGCAACCAGAGGATGTGTGGCAGGATCACTACGGGACCTCAGGATCCCTGAGAGCGGGACATTCTGGATCATGGGGTGCCTGCATTCAGAGGTCCTCAGACCAGAGGTATCCCATGTTTTGGTAAACTCGAGGGACCCAGGAGAGAAAGAAGTCTTGAACCGCAGTTCTTGCCACAGGAAGACTCCATAAAAATGGATTATTTTGTTTGCTTTTAGCCTTGGGGCAGGAACTGCCGGTAGAGATAGGGGGACACACCCAGGACCCAAGGGCTGTTGATCCTGTTGTGACTCAGACCTCAGACGGGGAATCTCGGTTGTTAGTCTTTTATTCTTTTAACTTGAAAGAGGACGTGTTGAACCCGCCCCTCACGCTCAGGTAGCTCAGGTGGCTGTGGCCCAGCCTGTTGGGAAAGGTCAGCTCATGCCCATCTGGCAGCTTCACCTTGAATTTGTCACTCTCAAAGGTCACCGTGAACTGTGGAAAGGAGGATGTCAAGGAGGCAGGAGGCCCTGGAAATGGACCAGGGCAGTGCCTGATGGCTCAAACAAGGCCAGCGCCTGTGTCCAGGCCAGGCTCCCTTCCATCTGGGCCCTCCCCTTGACATCATCCCCAGTGCCCTTTCCCCTCTTGACCTCACCTTGACCTCTGACCCTGGGCTGAAGCACAGGTGATCTTCCCGTTGTTCTTGCCCCCAGTTGCTGCCATCCAGTGAGTTGCAGACAATGGTGGATTCGCTGAAGCGAGGGTTGAAATGCAGGTTCAGCTTGTCTGTCCCCTGGCCCAGGTTAATTACAAAGCTGTAGGAGAAGGGGTAGCAGGTGAGGTTCAGGGCTCAGGCCTGGATAAAGCAGCTTGGGTTAGAGGATCTTGGTTGGCCACAAGCTGGAAGAACCAAAGCTTGTGTTAGTTGAGATCTGTGCCTTAAAACAAGGGAGGTAACAACCTGCTCAGACTTAGCACTGTGGTAGCACATTCCATTTGGAGCAGGGATCAAGTTGTTGAGAGAAGGGTAACTTATATTGACAGCTTCAGGAATTGGGGGTGGCTCTCCTGGGAGAGAGAAATGCTATCTATTAGATATCTGAAGACCTATTAAATTTAGCCACAAACAGCCAACCTAAGGTGGTGAGCTCCCCGTCACTACAGGTATGCAACCGGGGTTGTATGACTTCTAGGCAAGATCACCACAGGATCCTGGCCTCGACCTGCAGGGTTCCTGAAAGTGGGGCATTCTGGGTCATGGGGTGCCTTCATTCGGGAGTCTCAGACCAAGGGTACCACACATTTTGGCAAACTTGAGGGGCCCAAGTAGGAGAAAGAAGTCACTTTTCTCTTAGCTCCTATGATGTGCATCTGCCCGCCCCCTCTCTAATCAAAAGTAGATAAAGCATAGGGCCGGGCGTGGTGGCTCAAGCCTGTAATGCCAGCACCTTGGGAGGCCGAGACGGGCGGATCACAAGGTCAGGAGATCGAGACCATCCTGGCTAACACAGTGAAACCCCGTCTCTACTACAAAATACAAAAAACTAGCCGGGTGAGGTGGCAGGTGCCTGTAGTCCCAGCTACTCGGGAGGCTGAGGCAGGAGAATGGCATAAACCCGGGAGGTGGAGCTTGCAATGAGCTGAGATCCGGCCACTGCACTCCAGTCTGGGCGACAGAGCGAGACTCCATCTCAAAAAAAAAAAAAAAAAAAAAAAGTAGATAAAGCATAGTTCCAAGATGGCACTAACATGTTCTGCAGGCGAGACAGCCCTTCACTGGATTGTGACTCACGGAGGCGGTGAGGCCTCTGGTTCTAACCAAGAGGATGCCAGCAAGACCACTCAGCCTTCCCTGGTGGCTGCCCAGGTTTAATGAGCATGAAAGGCCAGCCTGTGGCCATTCCACTGGGTAAAGAGGGTGGTGTCTCTGGGGATTTGGGGGTTCCCTAGAGGCACCTGCCCCACAGGGGGCCAGGCAGAGTTCCAGGGACTTCTCCACCTTCCCTTTCAATGGCTGTTGGGGCAAAAGAACAGAGCATATGGCATCAACTCTGAAATTCTTCAGGTCCCCAAACCTAGCCTCAGACATGAAGTGGGGGCCAACAGGGGTGTGGGGAGAAGGGTGTGAAAAAGGGCCCATTGGCCTGAAGTCCCTCTTGCCTGACCAGTTCACAGGGCTGCCCTGCCCGCCCCTCCCGCCCCTCCCGCCTTGCCTGTTCCAGGCCTGCAGACTCCCCCCACCCTGAAACCTTGCTCACCCATCAGCGCCATCAGCGATCCTGCCTGTGATCTTCAGGGTTGACCCCGGCTTCATGTCCATGTTCTTAACCTCAAGTTCCCCCTGAGCCAACAGAGAAACATTCCACTCGAATCCCCACAGAAAATCAATCCCACACTTGCCCAGCACCTTCATCCACCTCATCCCAACCCAGCAGCAGATCTCATAACTCCCCTGCCCACATGAGGATGCAGGAGGCCACCAAGCTGGAAAGTAGCAGAGCCAGAGCGCTCTGATCAAGGCCTCCCAGAGCTTCCCCACTCCCTGCACTGTTTTGCTGTTATCCACCCCAACCCGAGGAGGCACAGGGCCCAGTTGGGGGAGGCTCAGTTTGCCCATCGATGAAATGGACAGAGTGCTTCCTGCCCAGTTCCACAAAGTGTTCAAGTGATTAAATCACGCTGCCCTCTGCAGAACGCCAGAAACAAAAATATGATATGGAAAATGACTGTATCAGAGGCACGAGGTCTTGGCCCATCCAAAACTAAGAATCTGGCCAGGTGGCTCACGCCTATAATCCCAGCATTTTGGGAGGCCGAGATGGACTGATCACCTGAGGTCAGGAGTTTGCAACCAGCCTGGGCAACGTGGTGAAACCTCGTCTCTATTAAAAATACAAAAATTACCTGGGCGTGGTGGCGGGCACCTGTAATCCCAGCTACTCGGGAGGCTGAGGCAGGAGAATCACTTGAACCCTGGAAGTGGAGGTTGCCATGAGCCGAGATCGTACCATTGTACTCCAGCCTGGGTGACAAGAGTGAAATTTCATCTCAAAGAAAAACAAAAAAAAAAGACCGGGCTCAGTGGCTCACACTTGTAATCCCAGCACTTCGGGAGGTTGAGGCAGGCGGATCACGTGAGGTCAGGAGTTCGACACCAGCCTGCCTAACATTTAACCTCGTCTCTGCTAAAAAGGCAAAAATTAGCCAGGTATGGTAGCACGCATCTATAGTCCCAGCTACTTGGGAGGCTGAGGCAGGAGAATTGCTTGAGGCTGGGAGGCAGGGGTTACAGTGAGCCAAGATCACGCCACTGCACTCCAGCCTAGGTGACAGAGCAAGACTCTGTCTCAAAAAAAAAAAAACAAGAAAAAAAACTAAGAATCTATAAAACTATAAAACTCCGCAAGTCCCATGTCTGAATATGTCCATCAAAGTCTCTCTCCAAGCCTCATTTTCCCCTTCTGTAAAATTGACTAATTTGATTTATTCATTTAGAAAACAGTTGCTAGCCTGGGTGTGGAAGTGTGTACTTGCATTCCAGCTACTCGGGAGGCTGAGACAGGAGAGTCCCTTGAGCCCAGGAGTTGGAGACCAGCCTGGGCAACATAGCGAGACCCCCATTTCTATATTTTTGTTGTTGTTGCTGAACGCCAGATGTATGACACACCCTGTCACACCAGGGAGACGCCACCAACCTTCAAGCTGGTTTTGAGAGGATTCAAGAACATGTTTGTGAAATCCCATGCACAGGGCCTCACATAGACCAGCAGCAAATCAAAGAGCCACCATCATTTATTGTTTTAATTTCCTTTTCCTTTTTTGTTTTGTGTGTGTGTGTGTGTGTGTAGTTTTTTTTTTTTTTTTTAGCAGAGTCTTGCTCTGTCGCCCAGGCAATGGTGCAATCTCAACTCACTGCAACCTCTACCTCTCGGGTTCAAGCGATTCTCCTGCCTCAGCCTCCTGAGTAGCTGGGATTACAGGCATGTACCACCATGCCTAATTTTTGTATTTTTAGTAGAGACGAGGTTTCACCATATTGGCGAGGCTGGTCTCAAACTCCTGGCCTCAACTGATCTGCCCGCCTCAACTCCCCAAAGTGCTGGGATTACAGGTGCAAGCCAAGCCCAGCCTTAATTTTCTTTTTTAAATTTTTTCTTTTTTTTCTGGACAGTGGTCTGCCCGAATGACCATCATTTTGATTACTTGTTGTTATGATTCATCTGCTCCTTATTTTCCACAGGAAAGTAGCACCTGAATTTCTGTACAGCAGAGCCTCCTCTAGCCTCACGTGGTTACTAGGGAAGATTTCTAAGCTGGGTTTTCAAAGCTCATTACCCAAGGCTGGGTGTGGTGGCTCACGCCTATAATCCCAGCACTTTGGGAGGCCGAGTCGGGTGGATCACCTGTGGTCAGTAGTTTGAGATCAGCCTGGCCAACATGGCAAAACCCCGTCTCTACCAAAACTATAAAAATTAGCCAGGCGTGGTGGTGGTGTCTGTAGTCCTACCTACTTGGGAGGCTGAGGCAGGAGAATCGCTTGAACCTGGGAGGTGGAGGTTGCAGTGAGCTGAGATTGTGCCACTGTACTCTGGCCTGGGCGACAGAGCAAGACTGTCTAAAAAAAAAAAAAAAACCTCATTACCGAAGACCAGTTTTCACATCTATGACCAGAGTGCAAGGGTTGCTCTGACCAGGATGCAACAGGCACCAAAGATTTAGAACAACTTATAAGAGGACACTTTTACATTGTAGGAGTTCTGCTCACTGACTTTTTTCTTTTTTTTTTTTTTTCCAGAAAGAGCATAATCTGAGATGCCCTGAATGAGCTCATTGAACTGGGGCAATCTGCCAGAAGTCAAGGACAGTGGCCATGGGAAGACCCTTAGTGCCCTCTCACTGGCAGCCACCGCCTCTCTGCAGAGGAGGAAGTGATACACTGGCTACACATAGCGGGAGACTGTAAGGTATTGCCCAACTCTCCCACAGGCAGTTAAGTTCTTTTGTTTTTCCTTTTTTTCTTTTTTTTTTTTTTTTTTGACATGTTGAGATGGAGTCTCACTCTGTCGCCCAGGCTGGAGTGCAGTGGTGCGATCTCGGCTCACAGCAACTGCCACCTCCTGGGTGCAAACAATTATCCTGCCTCAGCCTCCCGAGTCGCTGAGATTACAGGCCCCCACACCTAGCTAATTTTGCTTATATTTTTAGTAGAGACGGGGTTTCACCACTTTGGCCTGGTTGGCCTCGAACTCCTGACCTCAAGTGATCCTCCCTGCTGGGCCTCCCAAAGTTCTGGGATTACAGGTGTGAGACACCACACCTGACTTTTTTTCCTTTTCTTTCTTGGTTTTTTTTTTTTTTTTTTTTTTTTTTGAGACAAGGTCTCACTCTGTCACCCAAGCTGGAGTGCAGTAGCACAATTATAGCTCACTGCAGCCTCACAGCCTCCTGAGCTCAAACGATTCTCCTGCCTCAGTCTCCTAAGTAGCTAGGACTATAGACGTGTGCCACCATGCCCAGCTAATTTTTAAATTTTTTGTAGAGATAGGGTTTTGCTATGCTGCCCAGGCTGCTCTGGAACTCCTGACTCTCAAGTGATCCTCCCACCTCAGCCAGTAATATATATTTTTTTTTTGAAAGGTCTTGCACTGTCACCCAGGCTGGAGTGCAGTGATGTAATCATAGCTCACTACAGCCTTGACCTCTTGGGCTCAAGCAATCCTCCCACCTCAGCCCCCCAAATAGCTGGGACCACAGGCATCCTACCTGGCCCAGCTGATTTTTTTTTTTGAGATGGGGTCTCACTATGTTGTCCAGGCCAGCCTTGACCTCCTGGGCTCAAAGGATCCTCCTGCCTCAGCCTCCAAAGTGTTGGGATTACAGGTGTGAGCTACTGTGCCCGGCCTGGCAGTACATTTTAGAAGAGAAGCCTGGAGGAGGCAGCAATGCTTAACCCAGAACAGTGGGCCATGACAGTGGGCAGCATGTCAGACACGAGGCTGCTCAGACCAGGGCTTCTCAGCCTTGGGCCTCTGGACGTTTGGGACAGGCATTTCTTTGTTGGGATCTGTCCCATGTGTTGTGAGATGTTGAGCAGTATCCCTGGCCTCTAGCCACTGGATGCCAGTGACACCCTCCCCTGAGCTGTGACAAGCAAAAATGTCTCCAGACAGGATCCATTGTTCCCTGGGGGCAAAACCTCCCTGCTTTAGAGAAAGTGGGGATTGGAGGCTGGACACCTAACCCCCAACGTCTGCACTTAACGTAACAGGGGGTGGTCCAGATTTTGGAGCCAGACAGATGGGATTAAAAGCAGTCTCTCGCTGACAAAGAGCATTACCTCTGAGAGATGAGGTTACCCAGTGAGGACAGTCCCAAAGGGGCTCAAACAAGAAGCAGAACACAGGTGTGCCTGCCACACAGCAGGCACTCACAGACGTATGCCCTGCGCGCACACACATCTAACACCAAGCATCAGGAGATGGCTCCCTGCCTCCTCCCAGCAGCCTGTGCCCACACCCCGAGCCCTGCAACAGTCAGGCCGGGGTGCGGGAGCTGGGACTGGGCTAAAAGAAGCACCCCCACTCCCCTTGCAGCTCCTGGGGGCTGCCTGGCTGAAACAGCAAAGCTCGAACCCCAAGGTAGAGGTGGGGACTGCTGCAGGGCAGAGGCACTCGGAAGGCCAGGATCGGTGGTGCACTTGGACAAATAGGGATGCTGAGAGCGATGGGAGGGTGCAGGCCTGGGAGCCTTGTCCCCACCCAAAAGAGTCAAAGTCTCAGAGAGAGACAGGCAGAACTTCGTGGGGGTGGGGTCGTCCCTAGAGCTGGGGGGTGGGGAGTTGGGGACCCAGACTCCAGTGCCGACTCTGCCCCTAATTGGTAGAGGGGCCTGGGACCAGCCTAGCCCCTTTCTGGGCCCTGGTTCCCTTATCTATCATATAAGCAATTTGGATGATGTGGCCTCTGGAGACGGAGAGAGAGGAAAGAAAAGGCAGAGGTGGAATGACCAGGAAAGAGAAGGTTGGGAGAGTCTGTGGTCACAGCAGTCCTCCCCGAGAGGCAGAGGGTGATGAGGGCATAGACCCTTCCACGCAGAACCCCTGGCACGTTCACGTCCTGCATCCCCCCTGCACTTGAATAGCGCCCCACCAAAATTCATGTCCACCTGGAACCTGTCAATGTGACCTTTTTTTTTTTTGAGATGAAGTCTCACTCTGTCACCTAGGCTGGAGTACAGTGGCGCGGTCTCGGCTCACTGCAACCTCTGCCTCCCGGGTTCAACCGATTCTCCTGCCTCAGTCACCCAAGTAGCTGGGATTATGGGTGCCCACCACAATATCTGTCTAAATTTTATTTCTTTTTTCTTTTTTTAGTATTTTTGGTACAGACAGGGTTTCACCATGTTGGCCAGGCTGGTCTTGATCTCCTGACCTCAGGTGATCCACCTGCCTTGGCCTCCCAAAGTGACGGGATTACAGGTGTGAGCCACTGCACCCGGCCTCAATGCGAACTATTTAAAAATAGTTCCTTTGCAGGTGTAATCCACTTAAGAGGTCAAACCGGTTTAGGGTTGGTCCTAAATCCAATACGAGCAGTGTTCTCATAAGAAGAGAGAAATACAGACACAGAGACGGAGACACAGAGGAGGTCATGTGAAGTCGGAGGCAGAGATTAGAGTGATGTAAGTCAAGGAATGCCAGGAGCCACCAGAAGCTGGAAGAGGCAAGAAAGAACCCTCCCCTAACACCTTCAACAGGAGCATAGCACTTGGTTTTAGGCTTCTAGTCACCAAAACCAAGACAGAACAAACGTCTCTTGTGTGAAACCACCCACAATTTGGTGGTAGTTTGTTACTGCA